CAGCAGGAAATGTACTCCACCCTGGCCATCTCTCCCTTTTTCATCCCATCTGTAGGCTCTCAAAAGGCTTTGGGAAGCATTAACTATGGAGTTTCAACCACAGGTGGCATCAGCCACTACCTCAGGCGCTTTACTTAGAAGCCTGTGTCAAAGCACAGCATGGAGACAAACACGGAGGCTACACATGCTCTGTCAAACACGATGGTTGGCAGCACTGTAGCTCCAACCACTTCTTGCCTCCAACAGAAAGATGGTGGTAGGAGATTACCCTCCTCCTGCAGAGCTGCCACAGAGCCGTGGTGAGGAGTGACAGAGGTGACAGCCTACTGGTGTTGAACCGACAGATAGGAGAACAGATGGAAAACGAGACTTGAATAAAAGAGGATGCACGCAGCTGAGGGAGAAAGCTAAGAGAACTGAAGAGTGAGGTAAACAGACAGGCTGAGCAAATTCTTATCAGGACGATAGAAAACTGAATTATACATTCCCCTTGCAAATTTAACTTTACAAGTTAATTGTGTTAAAGGTCATGGGACCATTGCATCTTCCAGCAATACTTTCACTAGCAATCTTCATGGTGCCAGAGGGGTGACAAAAAGAATTAGTATGAAAATGTAAATTTAAACGTTGACATTTGTCTTTCACTCAGTGTACCGACAAGTAGATTACATTAGGCAACAGGGAAGATGCTGAAGCTACTCTAGACTAGAATAATATTCTGTTCTCATTTGCACAGATACAAATCAGGAGAGAAACTAGATAAGGAGATAAGCTAGTAAGGATATCCACTTCCATATGTGCTTATTTGTGTGTAATGTATGCAATGTCCTCCCCCCCAGTTTGCTATTTTTAGTTTGAACTGAGCATAGTCTCTTGCCTAGAACCTCAGTGAATCATATTTCCTTGTGCCTCTAGAGGCAAATACATCTAAATACATTTTAGAAGATAGCTTCTTTCCACCAGCTCCAGAGAACAGTACAAAGATCCATCATCACTTAACATGCAAACCCCATAGTTAAAGGATCTGTGAGCAACAATCAAGCTCGTGGCTGGTTTTGGTCTCTATTTCAGTGAGTTTGTCAGCAGCAGAGCCTGTAGCTCAAGCAAGTGATTTTCCCACAGCTGGAATCGGCCATTATGTTCAAATGCACTTATCTGGACCCTGAACATCTGTTTATTTTCTGGAATAACCACTTATGGAGCATCCAGATTAGAAAGTACAAACATATTGGCTAAATTGAATTAAAGGCAGTCAGTCACCCCAAATTAAACACTCAAGTGAAGATATTTTCCAAACACAACAGCAACAACCGAGTATCACACAAATGGGGTAGCCTCATGTTTAAAACATAGGACTGAGAGCTATTAGATTTTAGTTTCCCCTCCAACTTCTGCTGCTTGTCTTTTCCTCTTGATCTCAAGTAAATTATTTATTGTCAAGATTTACATTTCCCCAGATTCAAAATGAGGCAGTTAGACTCCCTGGCTTTAAAGAGGAGTGTAACCATAACGACAGCAAGCACATGGAAGGAAAGAGCATTCCAGTAAGGTCAACAGTGAATGGCAAATGGCCATTGTAAATTCTGCAGATGAAACCAATGGGCTAGCTCAAGCCCTGCTATAAATGGTGATGCAACCAATATCATATGCTTCTTTAGAAAACCGGTAAAGAAGAATCTTTTAACTGGCTTTTTCAAAGCTCAGCAAGTTTTGGACTCAATGGTTGGAAAAATGGCCTTCTTTTAAATTATATTGTTTGCACAGGGCTGAGAGGTCTCTCTGACACTAAATCAGTGGCACCCATTTGCTCATATGAAGGCAAACATAACCATATCTTGTCACTGGAACTGCTGTATACAGAAATGACCAGTCAGATGTTTACTAGTCCAGGCTGTATCTCTGCTCAAATGTGTTCTCAAGATAGCTGTATTAACAAATTAGAGGTACAATTACAGATTCCTGTCTCAAACAACTAACTTTGAATAAGACTGCGTGTGAATCGGGGTGAGAAGTGATGATAGGTAACTTAGTACATTATCATATTTGCCTAATGAGAATGACAGGATGAATTAAATTTTCGTTATCTGTGGGAGCACTAGTCTTGAGGGGAAACTGTTCTTACGAAGTGACCGTTTTATTTAACAGCTTGTTAAGAGGTATACTCTATAGCATATCAATACAACACAATTCCTCTAAAAGCCCCATTACCTGTTGGTCATCTGGAGTCCATATGCCACAGGTGATCTGACTCTCCAAGTTTATTTCTGAAGACCAGTGTCTTTGTCCACTGACTGAACCGACCAGCACAAATCCATCTCTATAGGAGATAAGTGCTTGAGTCCCATCATGGCTCCACGTAAAGTCGCTTACCTTAACATATCAAAGACAAGAAAATAGATACATGGGCTAGGTAGGAATTTTGTGTTGCTTTAATAAAAGGTTGCATCACACAGAACTAGACAGGCCAACCATTAGCCCAGTTGTAGCTCTGATGTCACGGCTATTGCATAAAGCCACTGTCCTTGCAAAGTGTCTTTGCGACAATTCTTGCTTATTTCTTTCAATAAAGAACTGTTTCATTTTCTCCTGTGCTTTTTGAAACATATAAAGCACTATTCATCGTCCTCTTCATTTTGCCCCTCAGGACTTGATAACTCTTAACTGCAGAGAAAACATGCATACCAACCTGTGCCCCCCGATCATTCACAAGCTCCACAGACCATCTGCCTTCGTATTGTATCCAAACAAATATTCCTCCATCTGCATCGCAGGTTGCTAATTTCTGGAATGGTTCGTTCCATCTCACCAGCACAACCTTAAAAGATTACAAACAAAACCAGCATTACCAAAACTGTGTGTTGTGCTAACAACTATTTAACAAGAACCAGTTAAACAATACTGCAAAATAAACATCACCTCATTTAAATCCTAAAGAAGATGTACAAAATAGTAATTTTCAGCACAGCATTAGGCGCCTCTCAAGAACAGCTGGAATCGTTTTGTCATGGCTGTTAGGAAATGCACAATCTCTTACCATCAGGCCTTTTTGGAAGGCATCGCATGCTTTCAACAAAAACATACTGTATACTGCTACGTAGGATTTCATTACAGAAGCAGCAAACAGGAGGCCCCATACAGACCATCCAACACGCTTTCAAATTATTTCCCCCACCGTAATCTCAGACTGTCAGACTCTACGTCAAATCATCACTTCTTACGGACTTCAAATGAAGCTGCACGCACCGGTATCAGATTGAATTCGAATACTCATGTCAATAGTGACACGAAAGGAAAAAAAATTTGAGCCCCAAATTATTAAAAACCAAAAGTTTCATAGAAAAGTTGCTTTGCTACTGAGTGTAGAAGGAATACAAAGCAGTTTTAGGCTCTTCTCTCTGCATTAGAGCTATCTGGGCTTTTTTGGAGAATCTAATCAAGTCTAAACTTACCAAATTGCTCTCTCATTTCTAATTAATTTATCAATTTAACAAATACAGTATCTCTTGAGACCTCAGTATTGAACTGATAAAAACATGTCACCCTAGTTCTTGAAGCAGAAATTAGCTGTAAAACCATTTACCTTCCGTTAGTTACTTTTTCTTTGAAACATTTTTTCTAAATTAGTTTTATTTCAAAACCACGCAGATATACACGGGACGCTTGCGTTCATACACAAGGAGATTCCCCCCAGTTAACTTTACAGAGACACAGCATATAAAACCAAAGAAAATATGTATTAAATAGTGAATCAGTAGGGTGTTATTAAATGAGCATCCAGCTTTAGCAAAGCTTTTTCATAAATCTAAATAGATAATGAATCATTTAAAAGAGACAGAAAGAGAAGATTTTCCCACAATACATTTTGCTGTTTACAGAGATGGACTGGTATTCCTAAACATCCCAGTCCTAAGACAAGCTCTGAGAAGACAGACCCACCACGCTTCACAACAAAGTCAGCAGTCATTTTCAGAATTAGGGTATAAATATGCATACCCGAAACCTAAACTTGACAGCTGAAAAGATGATCTTACACTTACTTAGCAGGATTGCTACATTTATTCACAGAGTGTCAAGGGTCAGAACTTCAGAATGTATACATCAGCGTAGCTCGCCAGCCTGAAGCATCAACCCTTGAACGACTGAACAGCTAAAGCAAGCTGTTTCTTTGTGCATACGTGAACATTACGGGAGGAAGCGAGTGTGACAAACCACCTCTCTGTTGTTAAGCAGCTAAGAAGAATCCCATTGAGATTTTGCAGAAAAACACTTGCTTCTGCTTGATTATAACCTTGCAGCTGCACCCCAAGTCACGAGTCCTATTTCCCAGTCAGGTGGATTATATCATGCCACTAGATGGATTATATCACACAAGGCTTTTTTTTTTCTTTCTTTCTTTTTTTTTCTTGAAGAGCAGTAAATAAGAACTTCCAACATATTAATACAAGCACCTGTATTTTGGTGAAAGTTTCACTCTGTCCCTTCTATCTAAACAAGAATAGCACAGAGTTGGCAAAATTTTGTTTTCTATTTGGTGTAACTCCCGTGCACAAACCCATCTTTTCATCCATCCCGAGGCAAAACGCAACAAAGACTTAGCTGTACTTGCCGGTAATGCTTAACAGTATTACAAAAGCAGTGAAGAAAACCCCCTGTGTAACCCAAGGACGTCACTGAAAAATCTTCATCCCAGCCTTTAAGGTTGGGAGCCACTAAGGCTAACAGTGACTGATAATAGAGTGGAAGGTACTTATCACCACTGAAAATCAGACCTTTAATGCTTAAAAACAGGGCCCATATTGGACATTTCATAGACCATATAGAATAAATTGCTAGAGAAAATTTAGGAACAAAAGATAAAACTAATAGCTCAAATAACATTTTTTAACTAACACCATCAAAGGTGCTATTGCCTGTCTTAGAAGTGCCCTGTTATGTCTGGCAAAGATTTGAGACAAGCACATGATTTTACAGATTAGACATACCAGCTGACTTAATGATACAAATTATGGGCAAAGTGACAACAGTTACCTTGACGTGGTTTGTCTCTTTTCTATTTTAAATAGGAATCTTGTTAAAACTTTTAGATACCTTTCAATTCAAATTCTGCACAAACTGTCTTTTCTTTGGATTTGATGAAACATCCAATGGTACACTTGAATGCAAGCAAGACTAACCAGAGCATCCCTCCCTCCATCCCAATTAGACACAAATTAGTAACTTCCAAAATAAACTTACTGCTTCATAGTCATAAAAGAAAGTGAGACAATGATTTTATATGCCTTCTGATAACATGCTTATAAGGAAGCAAACTTGCAATTTGAAAACTCCACTTCAGAGTAAGTGTTATTATTTTACGAGATCATTTAAAAGATGCTTCCATCATTTACATTTAACATCCGATTACAGGTGCTGAGTCCACAGCTGCTTTGAATGTTTCCAATTTAATTTTATTTCATTTTTCATAACATACTGAAGCAGAGATAAAGTAAGGAAGAAGTATTGCCCTAAGAATTAAAATTACTTTTGGTTTTTATGTTGGCTAAAATGTAAAGCATATGAAAACATGCCCCATTGATAGCACACTTAAATAACGCATAAGCTTGAATTACCCCTCTGCAAAAAGGAATTTTATTGCTAACCCATAAACGCAAAGATATCATTACTTTCACTAACGGCTTCAACTCTCAAGGGACCCATTTTTACTTCTGCCTTTATGGTTCTCTGCTTCCTACTTAGCACCTTCACACAGGTATTGAAGGACTAAGCTGTTTTATCTTGTATTAAAAGAGCAAAAATGCTGGTGTGCCAAAGAAAGTCGTCTGTGGACCATTTGCGGTCCACACAGCCCTTGTATCTTGCCTAATTATTTTAGTTTGTTTGTGTTTTTTTAAAATATGATAAAAATCGCAAATTGTGTTTGTTCTACTCTAGAAAAAAAATTGTATTACAGACATTAATCAGATTCTGAACTGCTATCTCACACAGGAGATGATCTCCCATGAATAAAACTTCAAGGAACTCTTGGCCTAATGTATTAAGTGCAATAAATTAAGTGCCAATATATTGCCCCCAAACAGGATGCTTTCCATGAAGTTCAATGAGCTTTTGAATCAGGGTCTTATGTTTTCTTTGAGCTCCTTTTTATAAAATTCATAGAGGTGAAGAAGTTGTTTCAAAAGTGGAACATTCAGCATCTTCAATAGCTCTGTTTTAGTGTCAACTTGATTTTCAGGAATTAAATTTAATTAATACTAAAGGTGCTAGAAGCTCTCCCCAAGAAATGACTGCATACTATAATGCTGCAAACACAGCAGAATCAGCAAAAAATATAACCTTAAAAAATTATTTTCATCACAAATTATCCTCAACATTAAAAGACTTGTTTATATATAAAACGAAATGGGAAAATATTGTTAACTTACAATTGGGAGACAAACCCATGCATTCACTTCCAGTATTATGGACTAATCAAGAATGAAAAAACTGATAACATTTCTCAATTAAAGATGTTGTGCAAACATAAATTATAGTTTATGAATCTCAGTTACTGCCCTGTACTTCTCATCTTCACAGATGCTCCATTTAGAAAAGGCCTTGTCTTGTGGCAAAGGAAACATCTGTATTATTCTAATGGAAAACCAACAGACAATATATTTTTTTTTAAGATCACTTTATTAATACTTTAAAATTTCCCTTTTCTTTCACTCTAATGCTCTTTGGTCCATTACTGCAAATAACAAAACAAAGTCCAATCAGTCTCTGGCCCAAAAGATCACCAAGTTTCTTAGAAAGGCACCGCAACAGAAAGACTATCATATGCAGCTAGCAATGTTGTTATTTATTACAATCTTAGACAAGAAATTTTGAGTAACCACAATTTTTGGAGTAGCAAATATGTGATTTATAGTACATGTAACCTCTTTCCAACATAAGCCAGGTTTGGTGATTTAAATTCATTACGTGCTATTGATACTTCTATTAATTTTTTCACATTTTCTAACATACAAGACCACTGAAATCCAAAGCATTCTGAAAGCATTTTGTTATTCCTAATTTCATACAGTTTTTGAAGGACACGACTGAAAACATGATATCAATCAATCTTCCAAGAGCAGAAGTCCTTAATCTAGAATACCATACAACAGTCATTACTGAAATCTTACCTCTATAGTCCCTAAAACACAGAATCACAGAATCGTAAGGGTTGGAAGGGACCTCAGGAGATCATCTAGTCCAACCCCCCTGCTAAAGCAGGCTCACCTAGAGCATGCTACACAGGACTTCATCCAGGCGGGCTTTGAATATCTCCAGAGAAGGAGACTCCACAACCTCCCTGGGCAGCCTGTTCCAGTGCTCTGCCACCCTCAGAGTGAAGAAGTTCTTCCTCATATTCAACTGAAACCTCTCGTGTTTCAGTTTGCATCCATTGCCCCTAGTCCTGTCGCTGGACACCACTGCAAACAGACTGCTTCCGTCCTCTTGACTTCCGCCCTTAAGATATTTGTATGCGTTGATGAGATCCCCTCTCAGTCTTCTCTTCTTCAGGCTGAACAAGCCCAACTCTCTCAGCCTTTCCTCGTAGGGGAGATGCTCCAGTCCCTTTATCATCCTAGTAGCTCTCCTCTGGACTCTTTCTAGGAGTTCCTCGTCTTTCTTGAACTGGGGAGCCCAGAACTGGACACAGTACTCCAGGTGGGGTCTCACCAGGGCAGAGTAGAGGGGGAGGAGAACCTCCCTCGACCTGCTGGCCACACTCCTCTTAATACACCCCAGGATACCATTGGCCTTCTTGGCAACAAGGGCACATTGCTGGCT